CCACTAAAAAATACACATGTAAACTTTGTATTTAAATATCTTGTATTCCCTTGTTAAATTTAAATAAAATTTTTTAATCTTATAAAATTGTTATCATACATTCTTTATAATTGACACAATGTAAAGATTTTTCAAAGTAGGGGAGACCGGGGCTAAGCCGATACTATTTTTTTAAAGGCAATTTTTAATATTTAATTAAAATTTTTAGGCAAATTCAATGGTATATATTTAAAGAGTGTTTCTTTAGGTACAAAATTGATTCAGGAAGTTTTGCTGTACGTCGCTTTGTTTTGCCGCCAGGAAAGCAAAAGTGACGCGAAGACAAATTTTCAAATTGAAAAATGCCGGGGTAAACTCGACACTTTGCCTGATCGACATAATTTGATCTGGAACTTATTTTTTATTGTCTGAAACTAAATATACATTTGTTTATCGTGTATTTAGAAAGTACAAAAATTTGGAATTAAGTAAAACAATCATTGGAAATAATGAGAACAAAAATTGTTAAACATTCAATTATTTTAATCTAAACTCATGTCTGAAAAACAATTTATGCAAGTAAATTCGCGATTACACGTGCGCACACATTTGTCATGGGCCATATGCTGCATTACAAGCATCGTTTATTATTGGGAACTAATAAAACAGCGTGTCGACTTAGCCCCTGTCGACTTAGCCCCGAACGTCGTTTTTTACTTTTGTTACTCCAAAAATATAAAAATTTTGAAAATATGCAAAAATTATTATCGGATTCGTATAAAACATCGAATTTTCTATCAAAATTACTTACCGGTAGATTCGCAAGAGTAAAGCTCGATGAAAGAGTAGACATTTTCGAGAGATCAGAAAAATTACTTTTTACTATCAAAAACGCTTATGTCGCGTTAAAAATTACACTATATATAACTCAGAATGTTACCAAATTCCGTTGATAATACTGGCACATAAAGACGCATTTACAGTAGGAAAGGCAAGTTTCTACGATAGATTTAAATTGGCAAAACGCCTAGTGTCAAGTTAGCCCCGTTGTCGGCTTAGCCCCGGTCTCCCCTAGTGCAACAATTATTTTTTGAGGCAATATATATGTTCTCTCTGTAATTGGCGCTGTAATTTAAAGAGATATCATTTCTTTTTTGTAATTGTAATAGATCATTTGAAGCGCGACTCTTTTTTTTGATAAGGTAACATAATTTTGTGATGTGTATCACTTGGGTTATAATTTTTCGGAAATAAAGATACTACTGCTTAAATTTTTTCAAGATTTTTCGAGATATAAAGATTACGTCTACCACTTGTTACTTAAGTTTTTTTGATGTATAATACTACCACTTTCTTTTTTTTTTTTCGAGGTAACAACATATACACTACTATGCGTGTACTTGGCGCCTTTTTTTACCTTTTTTTTAAAAAAGGTGATTTTGTACGAATATCACGCCTTTTTGTAGTATTACGCATTTTATAAACAGTATGTACAGGGTAAAGCTATTTGGAGGTATAATACTACTACTTTGTTTTTTTCGAGGTAACAACATAACACCAGATAGCACGGAGAATTGAAAAAGAATTCTTTTTAAAAACCCGATTTTTAAAATGTATTCTTTTCCCATATATCATTTCTGTTCTAAAAGAATTCTTAAGAGTTCTGTACACGCTCCAGTAAGAACGTAAAATCGTACTGGTTATTAAGAAAACTCAACTAGTGTAATTCGTTTGAAAAGTAACTTTTCGATATATTGATTGAATACAATTTTTAGAACTTTGAGAGTATAACGCGGTATTAATATAAATCACATATAAATGAAATACATAGTTTAAGTATCAGGAAACTCAATTATTAATAGTCCGTTCACTTTAATAAATATATATCTGTTGCTGGAGATATTTCTTCTATAAATTCCAATATAATAATTACGCAAGACCAATTTCACTTAAACAAATTAGAAGCACTGAGAATCATTGAATATTTGTAACGCACAAGAGAAAACCTTGAAGAACAAATTATATTTGTGAAAGGACCATTAATGCAAAACATTTCAAAATAAAACATAATACAAATATAAATTCAAAATCTAATTAATATATATAGAAAAAATGGAATAATGCATGGATTAATTTGGTATCTTACTAATAAAGAAAATAGATTTCAGAGAAATCAATGTTAAAAAAAATAAGTGGTTCTTAACCAATAAATATACCCTTTTTTCCCTTTGGCAATTCAATGCATTAATCTATAATAAACATGACACATATTCATATAGATATCATCAATCGTGCATAACATGGTTTAACTATTGGATAATGTTTCTAAAATAATTATTTGTTTCGAAATGAACTTAGAGATATTCAACTTACGATAAAGAAAGAATACACTATTGAATCGCAATAGAGTACATTAACCAATGTGAACATGTACTATTTTACGAAATATTAACTTTACAGTTTCGATGAGTTAATTCTCAATTAATATCTTAACGAATCCTTACAATCTTTATACAACATACGTAATTTTACAATGAAAAGAAGCGAATATACTAAATACGCGTGGTTGCAACCAAATTCTTTTTATACTTGATTACTCAAGTGAAATGAGAAGAATTTTCCTTGTCTTAAACAGTGGCCACCGATTGATATATAATATCGGATTGAATGCCTTGCCGAAACGCAAGAATGGTTGTAATACATCCCAAATCCAATAAGAAAGAAAGCTCTCGAATGTTCTGTGCGAGCTTTCACTTTACGTGAAAGCTGATTCCAAAGAGGAGGAATACCGCCCTTACGAATAACGAGAGTTACCTGTGCGTGCTTTCACTTTACGCGAAAGTGACTCCAACGAGGAGGAATACCACCCTTCCGAATAACGAGTTACCTGTGCGTGATTTCACTTTACATGAAAGTGACTCCAAAGAGGAGGAATACTGCCCTTCGTGTGAAAACTCGGAAGTGTATTTCCATCAAATGTATTTTCCAATCGTCCTTCCTTCTTTAGTAATGGCGGATGCTTTTTCCTTATATATGGCAATGGCCGATATTTTTCCAGTGTCAGTGGTCGCTTTTCCTTACGTCGTGCTGCCGTATTAATGTATTCGTCGTTGTAATTACGATTGAGTATGACTTGAAACGATTGATTTAACGACTCAATATCCTTTTTACAAAGAATATTAGAAACGGGTAAAATACACGACACGACTTGATACGCGTGACTTTTGTGGACGAAAGATATGGATATAATGACGATCGTGGACGGAGGATATTGATACAATGACGATCGTTGCTACGCAAGCTCGATACTTCCGTAACGAACGCGGAAGTTAGGTATCGCAGCGCCATACGGACGCGGAAACCAAGTACTGCAGCGCCTTTACGTGCGAAACATACGCACTATCAATGTCACTAGACCCATGTATGAGTCTCTATAGAGTGTTTACGGAATCAGTTACTTACTGGCGAATACCATAGATGGCAACACGCCATTTTTCATTCGTCGATAAATTGCTGTGTTTTCAACAAGTTCAAAAGGAGTTCTTTCCTACGTCACCAGTTCTGAGTTCTTCTTCAGATACAAAAAAAATCACTTTTCTACTCCATAAGAATTCGTAATGTATTCGAAATTATGTTTAGACAGTATTCTAATAGAGCTCTATCTAAGCACTATTTCGAATGCATTGCGATTTCTCATAGAATAGAAAAATAATTCCTTTGTATTTGAAGGATAAGAAAAAATCCTTCATAATCTATCCAAAAACAGTTTCTACATTAGAAAGAACATAAAATGTACTATCCATTTTATGTTCTTTCTGATGCAGAAACTGTTTTCGGATAGATTATGAAGGATTCTTTCTTATCCGATGTTACAGACAGAATATTAGGATTATAAACACTGAAATTAGGAATATAAATATAGGAAATATAAAATAGAAGTATCCATGATTCAGGTATCCATGATTCAGGTATATCGATTAATGATTATATTACTAAATTGGTATACAGATTTGAAATATTGTAAGTATCATATTGTTATAACAAACGATTCGTATAATATGAGCGACATATTTATTGTACATACAGACATGCGTAAAATAAAATTTTATATGCAAAATAATTAATGTATAATATGATATTATGAAAATATAAAAGTGTCCCGAAAGAGTGATCGAGTAACGATTCGAAATTCTACAAACATATTGTTACTTCGCAGAAGCAGCGACGATCGTTGTATTTCGAAATTCGGACGCACTTCCGCGCGTCCCGTTAATGCTTCATCGGATGAGAGTCTTTAGCGATTGGAAGGAAAACATAAAAGTAGAATATAATTATACGAATAGCGGTGAGCAACGCATGAGCTTTTTCGCCGGGGCAACAAGGCGAGTTTTGGAAAAACGATCGTGTTTAATTAGATAATTTATGTCCCGAGCGGTATACGCGTCCAGCACATTTACACGCGATTACATTGTAACGTTTATAACACGAAAGCGGGCTCATTGAGTTCCGTCGAGCGGCCGATGCAAAATAATTAATGTATAATAAAACAAAATAAAATTAAGTTTTCTTTCATCTTAAATCAAAATTAAACTCATTTTCATACCGTTACAAATAATACGTACATCATCGCTTGTACAAATCGAGCGAGATAAAAGTTGAAAATAACGCCAAAAATGTGCTTCCTGAATCTACCTATAATATAATCTAGGTCTTTTTTTTATCCGGTCACTAGCGTGCTGCAGCCACTTCTTAACAAATATCCCAATGTCGTTCTTAGGAACGTTCTTCATTTTCGAGATGGTTTCTGCAACATAATGTTTTGTAAGTATAGGTATATAGATATTGTAAAAGTTAAACATTAATATTTGGTAATCTAAAAACTGAAGAAGAAAATGTTGCTTATTAACTCACCGACAATGAGTTGAGAAATTTGAGTAGTTTGAAATTTTAATGTGTTTCTTTGACCGGACCAAGAATACTTTATTGCTAGCTGATTCGACATTAAGAAGCGCAATGTGGCTCTGGTGAATTTGCCTACATCAGATCCTCCGATCATCTTTATCTCATTAATCTGCAAAAATAAAGGCAAATATATCATTACGATTTGAGCATTTGTATTGTAAAGAAAAGTATGACAATTAAATAATCTCTTACGTAGAATTTTTGTACTTCCAAGGACTCGACAAGATTTCGTTCAAATCCTTCAAATTCTTCAACAGTTTGCAAAAGAAAGTTAACGGTTGTCGATTTTGCATTTACTGGAGAGAGTTCACATTTATCCGAATTTGTAGACTGATAATTAGATGGTGGTAACACAAACGAGTTTACAGTACCATCTCTTTTACATATCTCTTCGGTTACTGCAAAATATATTATATTTAGTTACGTATATTTATGTTGCTTTTTTTTAAATAAATTTCATCGAAAATTTACTTTACATTACCTTCTTCTTCTTCCTCCTCCTCCTCCTCCTCCTCCTCCTCTTCCTCTTCTTCCTCTTCTTCTACTTCTTCTTCTACTTCTTCTTCCGACGCCAACGTTTCGTTCCGAAGCCATGCTGGCTTTCTCCTATTTCATATCTTTTGTGCCTCAGATGCCTTAATAGCTTTGTCACACGTCATCAGTATCTTCATTTGTAGATACGTTCATGCAGTGCTCTTCTACTTGATTAGCTAATTGAAAAGACTCTGCAAAAAGTGTTAGTTATTTTCATTTGTGTACAGTAAGTTAATATTTTCTAAATATTTAACATTCTTGAGAAAAACGCACCAAAAGGTCCCAAACGTTTACGCTATTCGTATATAAGCCAGTCATCTTTTGGATGTAGATAATGCATTTTGTTTTTATTAAATTTGACCTGTTTTGGAGGCCAAAAAACTTTGTTTGATTCTAAATCCATCCAATTTTCTGGTACGAGATTACAAAAGTCGTCAAAAAATACTACAAAGTCTGCATCTGCAAAGTATGATTCCACATCACCTCATATCAATCTTGTAAAAGAGGCATGGCGTAAGTAATGTTCTCGATTGTCATTAAAAATCTTTTACGATCAATGCATTGTACAGGCTACATTTGTAAAGGTGACAGATTTTCAACTTTGTATATATTCATGTTACTTGAGGGAGACGGATAATGTAAAATATCAGATCTGTTTAGAAATTTATTACCAAGAACAACAATCTTATTTTCCATTAATCCAATGTGCTTAATCATCACGATAGTTGCATCAGTCAGGAAGCAACAGTTGTCTGGCCTTTTATTTGATAATTCAAACATGCGGATTTGTAGAATTCGGTGCTCGCTGTGGCAACCCAAAGGAAGTTCTGACACAATTGGCTTCTTGAGTATAGGATGCTTCAAAATTTTCTGATTCTTCTTATATTGAGGATGTTGATCGTAACTGTACTTTTCGATTAGTCGTCGATAAATTTGTTGCAAAAGATTAGCGTGTTTTCGTATCATTCGCTTCAACACTTGCATATGATTTTTAAAATCAAAAGTACTGTATGAATCTAATGGACCGTACATCTTTACATCTTTATTTAAATGAATAAGAGAATGAATGTTACTCACAACATATTGCTCCCCATACAACGTCTTAAATTGCTGTACAAAATAAATCAGCAATTCTTTAGCATAAGCGTTGTTTCTGTAGCAATTTCGGGGATCGCACAATATCCGTATAGCACAATTGAGACTGTTAAAGTGAATTAAATATTCTTCAGGAAGAAAATGTTGCAAAATAATCTTTGAATCCTTCGAGTTCTCACAATCAGAACAATATAAGGTTTTACCTGTGGCAACGTATAGGCGTGACGAGCCAGCTCGAATCCTTCGAGTTCTCACAATCAGAACAATAGGTTTACCTTTGGCAATGTATAGGCGTGACAAGCCAGCTCGAATCCTTCGAGTTCTCACAATCAGAACAATAGGTTAGGTTAAGTTGAATCGTTTATAAAATGTGCGATCTCGAGTAAAAACCTAGTAAAAATCGAAATCAGATGTAAATTTAATCATATCACAACGTGTGTGATGATGAGGTTATCGAGTATTTGCAAGAAATTAATTTAAGAAAATTAATAAAATGCTTTAATTACCTTCAAATTTTCTTTTCGACGACAAAAATTATTAACGGTCGTGCCAATACGTACGTTGTCAATTACGGCCAACTAATGTAAATATATTACGTCCAAGCGTAATATTCTCCGACGCAGAAGCACGTAGAAGCGCGAAATAGCGAGAAAGCCGCCAGGAAGACCAGAGAAAACAAATAGAAACTGATAGAAACGCTGCAATGCTGCCTCGAGACGGCTCGAGAAAGCATTATAGACTGCGCATGCGTATTAAGTGAATTCTCTTCGAACCTATTATGAATAGAAAAAGAATTCCTTTTAAGACCATTTAGATTAATTCCATAAGAAATCACTTCTATGGAATTCTTTTTGAAGGAATTCTTTTTGAGTTTATTTCGGACAAATTACGGGTATTCTTAAAGAATTTGAAAAGGTGAAGTCTTTTCGAATTCATAACGATCAGCTGTGCTATCTGGGAGGGTAACAACATAATACATATACACTACTATGCGTGTACTTAGCGCCTTCTTTTACCTTTTTTTTAAAAAGGTAATTTTGTACGGATATCACGCTTTTTTATAGTGTTACGCATCTTAATCTTATAAACAATATATCTTATAATCTTATAAACTGGACTTCCGGTTCCGGAACATAGAAGGTGACAGGTGTGAACATAGCGGAGATAAAGTGATAGAAAAGTGCGACACAGAAAAGGTGGGAGAGAGTGAGAGTAGCGGGACGGCAAGGGATGGAGGTGTGAGACGGCGGAGGAGAAAGAATTAAGCGGGGGCGAGATCGGTTAAAAGGTGAAAAGTGAAGAAAGTGGCTGGAACGAAATGACAGTTGAGGCATAGACGGTAAGTAAAATAGAGAGGCGACAGAACGTAGGAAAGAGGCGCGAAAGCGAGCATAGACTAGCTCAGTCATAGAAGGGAAGCTCGGATATAGAAGGAATAGTAGGACGTGCACGCAGCCATAGGATACAAAAAAGAAAGAGGGATAGGCAAATCAAGAACAGCGGATGGATAAAGAGAAGGAAATAGAATCAGAAAGTGCACAACAGGGAGATAAAGGAAAGAAGGGGGAAGACGAAGGCGAGAAGAAAGCGAGAGGCAGACCAACGAAGGCGGAGGAGTTAGCCAAATTAAGAAGAACGGACAGTACAGGATCGGTCAAGGAATTCTTTCAGAAGAGTGAGAAAAGGAAGAGGAAAGAAGAGGTGGAGGAAGCAGCGAATGCGGAGAAAGAAATTCTAAAAGAATTTAACGCACAAAGAAGGGTCAACAGATCACCGCCGCCCAAAATCAAAAAAGAAAAGCAGGGAAAAGAAAATATGGCGACGGAAGAATTACTGGAGAAGGTTAAAGAAATTTTGAAGAAAATGGAGGAACAAGAGGGAGAAAGAAAGAAAGATAAGGAGGAACAAGAGAAAGAAAGGAAAAGAGATAAAGAGGAAATAAAAAACGAAATTAAGGGACTGAGGGAGGAATTGAAAAGAAGCGAGGAGATATGGGAAAATCAAAGAAAGACCCTGGAAGGAAGAATTAAGAATTTAGAGGAGAAGGCGGAGAAGATAGAAGTAAACATGTCAATGAGTGAGGGAGGGGAGATAATAAGGAAAATGAAAGAGATAGAAAGAAATATGGAGATGGCAGAAAGAAGAAGGAGGAGAGTAAACATAATTGTAAGAGAAGAGAAAACAGGAAATAAAAAGGAAAGAAAAGAAAAAACCGAGAAGTTGATAGAAGAAATAAATAGATCGAAAATGGCCGTCGAGGAAGTACAAGAAATTGGACATGGAGAATTTAAGATGAAGGTACTGAGATGCAGAAATTGGGATAACAAACGAGAGATAATGATGAGAAAGAAAGAGCTAGGAAAGAAGTATGGTTGTTTTCTGAATGACGACCTTACTAAAGAAGAAAGGCAGATACAGAAAGAGTTAAGAAAGATAGCAAGGGAAAAAAGGGAGGCAGGAAAATGGGTAACGGTCGGTTACCAAAAAATATGGGAGGATAATAAGGAATGGAGATGGAACGAAAACAAAGAAGCGCTAGAAGAAAGGGATCACTTTCGCAGATAAGAAAGAAAAGAAGAAGGATAAAAAAGGGTTAAGCATGATGAACGAGAGAAGGAGAGAAGAGATACAAGAAAGAAGACAGGAAAGGTCCAAGGAGATAGAAGAAAGGCGGAACACACCAGAAGAAACCAGAAAGGACGAAGAAAGTATAAAGGAGGTAGATGAGGAAAATATTAGAGGAAACGGAATAAGGGAAGTCGAAGGACAAGAGAAAAGATATATAGGAGAAGAGGAAAGAAACGACGGGGAGAGTGAAGAGACGTGGAAAGTGGCCTTTTGGAACGTAGCTGGTTTAACAAACAAGGATAAGGACTTCTGGGAAGGGATAAAAGAATGGGATGTGATTGTGATGATGGAGACTTGGACTGATGAGAAAGGATGGGAGAAGGTGAAGGAGAAGCTACCGAGAGAATATAGATGGAGAGTACAGATAGCAGCCAGGAGGAACAAGAAAGGCAGAGCGTGCGGAGGCATGTTGCTAGGAATAAGGAAAAGCATAGAAGAGATAAAGGAAAGAAGGGAGACGGAGGAAGAAGGAAAAATCGAAGGTAAGATAAGAATAGGAGAGGAAGTATGGAGAATAATAGGAATCTATGTAAACAACAATATAGACGAGAAACTAGAAGGTCTGAAGGAAAGGACGGAGGAGGGGGAAAAAGGAGTAAGGACCATAATAGGAGGTGACTTTAACGCGAGAACGGGAGAGGAAGGAGGATGGGAAGAGGAAATCGAGCGAAGAGAGGAAAGAGGGAGGAAGTCTAAAGATAAGAAGATAAATAAAGAAGGCAGAAAGTTACTGGAGTTTATCGAGGAGAGAGGATATATGATATTAAATGGAGGCACAAAGGGGGACGAGGAGGGAGAATATACATACACAGGGGGAAGAGGTGAGACAGTCATAGATTACATAATAGGGGACGAGGAGGTTAGAGAAAAGGTGGAAAGACTGGAAGTAGGAGAAAGGATAGATTCGGACCATCATCCATTAATACTATGGGTGAGGGGAAGCTCAAAGAGAAGGCAAAGGAGGAGAGGAACTGAAAAAATGAAAAGAAGGGGAGTATGGAATGAGGAAGGAAAGACGCAATTTAAGGAGAAGTTAGGCGTGATTGAAGGAAAAAGAGACCTGCAAGAGGAAATAGAGGAAGGAACAAGGAAGATAAGAAGGGTGATTGAGGAGAACGAGGACAAGAATGAAAGAATGACTATCAAGAACAAAAGAGGGTGGTGGGACGAGGAATGTACGGAGAGCAAGAGGGAAGTGAGGAAAGAACTAAGGAAATGGAGAAAAGGGAAAGGAGAAGCAGAAAGATACAGAGAAAGAAGGAAAGAATATAGGGAAATGTGTGATAGAAAGAAGAAGGAGGAGAAAGAAAGAATGATCAGAGAGATTGGAGAAGCGAAAACGGAGGGAAAGGTATGGGAGTTGATAGGCAGAGTAAGGAAGAGAAGAAGAAGGGTGAATGAAGAGATAAAACCGGAAGAGTGGAAGGAGTATTTCATGGATCTGATGGGTGGAGTGGAGAACAGAGTGGTAAAGGGAGAGGGAGACAGAAGCAGACAGAAGGAAGAAGAGATAGGACTAGAAGAGATAAGAAACGTAATAAAGAAACTAAAGACGGGAAAAGCAATAGGCAATGACGGGATACCTAACGAGGCATGGAAGTACGGAGGAGAAGAAATGGTGAAATGGATATGGGAGGTATGCAAACGTGTCTGGAGAGGTGAAGGCTGGCCGGAACAATGGAAGGAAGGGGAGATAATCCCATTAGTTAAAAAAGGAGAAGGGCGAGAGGTGAAGGACTATAGAGGAATAACCATCATGTCTTCGATGTACAAAATCTACACGGCGGTACTGGCGGAAAGAATAAGAGAAGAAGTAGAAACGAAGAAATTGATCCCCGATAATCAAACGGGATTCAGGAAAGGAATGGGAACGATGGATCAAATATTCGCTTTGAATTACCTGGTGAACAGACAAATAGGAAAAGAGAAAGGAAAGATGACAGTGTTTTTTGTGGATCTGAAGGCTGCCTTCGACTCAGTGGACAAAAGAGTATTAATAAAGGCAATGAGAGAAAGAGAAGTGAGACAAGGACTGATAGACAGAGTAGAGGAAGTATTGAGGGAAACAAAGAGCAGAGTAGGGAAAGGAGGAGAGAGTGATGGTCAATTTTGGACGGCGAAAGGCCTGAGACAGGGATGCCCACTAAGCCCAATATTATTCAACCTATTAATCGCAGACATAGAGGATCATATAAAAAAAGGCGGATGGGGAGGAGTGAAATTAAGAGGCGAGAAAATATACACGCTAATGTATGCAGATGATATTGCACTGCTGGCAGAGGAGGAGCAGGACATGAGATCGATGATAAGCAGGTTAGAAGGATATTTAGACAGAAAAGGATTAACTATGAGTATAGAGAAGTCAAAGGGAATGAGATTCAGAAAGGGAGGAGGAAGGAAGAAGAAGTACGACTGGAGGTAAAAGGGAAAAAAATTAGAAGAGGTTAAAGAATTCAAGTATTTAGGGTATACGATGAAGGAGAATGGAGGGCAGGAGGCGCATATCAGAGAAAAAAGAAGGAAGGCAGCAAGAGTAATGAGGGAAGTATGGGGGATAGGGAAGAGGATGTGGAAAAAGGACTGCAAAAGAAGGATCTGGCTATACGACACACTGATATGGACAGTGATGGTATACGGGGCAGAAGTATGGGGATGGAAGGAGAGGAGGGAGGTAGAAGGTATTCACGAGAGATATCTTAGATGGGTACTTGGAGTAAATTGGAGGACGCCGGGATATATGGTCAGAGACGAGCTAGAAAGAGAGAAGATGAGAAGTAGAGCAAGCAAAAGAACATGGAAATTTGAAAGAAAATAGGAAGAAGGTAGAGGAGGAGAGATAGCGAGAAAGTGTTTGGAAGAAATGAAAGAGAGATGGAAGAGAGGAAAGGTAATAGGGAGATGGGAGCAGGAGAGAAAAGATTACTTGGAAGGGATCGGAGTAGAAATGGAAGGAGGAGAGGAGTTGGAGGAGGAGGAATTGGAAAAGAAGGAGAGAGATAAGGAGAGACAAGAAAGGATGGAAAAGATCGTAGGATCGAAGTACAATA